GCATGGAAATGTCATTAACTGGGAAAGGGTGAAAGTGGATTTGCATTTTCAACGTAAACACGTGCCAAGGAAATGTCAAGTAAAGAAATCGCTTCGAAGTATTTAAAGGCAGCGACGACAGGAGATTAAAGTCTATTTGCCAGTCGTCCGGGATGACACATCATTATCGGCATAAACAACAAAAAGCACTTTATTGGCATCATCAACGGCAGGCAGGCAGGCAAGCAGCCGGCTATGATTGCAGATTGGTAGACGAAGAGGAGCTGCATGTGGCAACCCTTTCGTCCAGGATCCTTTGGCCAGGACCACCTGCACAATGGGCTATCTGCCTTCACGTTGATAGATTGTCGTGGACGGCTGGGACCCAAGCAACATTACACTGATAATATTGCCACGCCCTTTGGGCCATATTTCCGCCCGGCCACAGCACGAAAATGGGGGTCTGCAATTCGGGCTTAAAGGCTGCGGTAAACAGCTGGCCATTGTGGTGTCTCTTGGTTAACTTAAAGGTTGATTAAGGCTGTTGTTCGCAGTTTGATGCGGCTTGTTTCCGCTGCAGTTGAAATAATTCCAATAATAATTATATTTTAACTCCTCACAAAATTAAACAAAAAATTACTATTTAAATTTTAGTATAAGAATCTCCGACCTCGGACATTAATCAAACGCTAAGCCAAAGGTTCTTAAGCTAACAGTAAAGTCTGTGAAAAAAGTCCATCAAGGATTGCACTTCTTTTGATCCCCTTCTCTGCTGGCAAAGTTTTTTTTTGCACGACATCATGAAGGACAACAATCAAGGGCGACAAGTAATGGACATCCTTTCCATGAACCTATTGATAAAAAGTTGTAGTACTTGTCGAAGGACAACCTTGTCCAACAGTATTAGTTATCCTTGCTCGGTTTTTGTATGCCTGTTGTGACTTTATGCCAATAATTTTTAGAATTTCCTTGCTTCTTTCTCGTGTTCAACCATGTTTTGTTAGCTGGCTCCCTGACTTTCACTCGAGCCTGTCTCTTTGTCTGGCCCTCTGCCTTTCACTTTGTCCCTCCGTTGCCCTATGTGATAATCCCGACTTGTGCCATGTGAATAATGATGCTCCAGATGCTGGGGCAAAAGCAGTTTAACGAATTTTTTCTATCTTTTACTCAACAGCCTTCGCTTTTTTAGTGTCCTAGACGCCGGGAAAGCCGCGTGCCGATGACAGCTGAATAATAACTTGAAAAGAAAAGGAAAACCTAGGAGAATTGCTGACTATTTTAAAAATATATATGGCATATATAAAATGTGCACCAGTTTTGGCTATTACTATTCAAGCGAATATTTAAAATATACAATCCGCTCTCAAAGACAATCTATTTAGCAAATTACATTTTGCTCTCCCAACATATTTTCAATTAAATTAAAATAAAACATTTTCCAATTTATTTGTTGCTGTTACCAATTGTTTACAATCAATTTGTTGTTCCTCGCATTCAGAAATATTTTTAACTATGAACTCGCCGCACACACATGACAGAACAAAAACGTAAACAGATGCTATATAATTACACGCAAAGTGCTGGGGGCTGCCTGGTAGGGTGCCTCCTGCATTGAAAATGCAAATAAATGCACTTTTCATATAAAATTAACAATTTGGCGTGTTGCTGGGGACAGAGGAGAAGAGGGATCGCGAATTGGGTAATAAATGTTTTCACAAAAATAACAGAAAGAGCCGGCTTTAAGCCCAAGCCTTGCCGTAATGGCCAGCAGATATCAAAACATATTAACATCAATGGATAATGCTCTTCAGAAATATAGGTAAACCTCTACAAAGTAAAATATTTCACTTGATTAGAATATGAATGTAATATTTAGAAAATAGAATAAAAAAGTTTGCGTATAATACTTTATGGTATATTAAATTTATAATCATGATTTTTAACCATACTTGTATGGTTAATGTTTATTTTTAGCAACTTTTTACATTTCAATTTCAATTTAATTTGATTATCAATTTTTCTTCAATCTTTCCGAATATATTTTACTCAATGAGTTTTCTGTGGACTGCCATTTTCTGCTGTACAAAAGGAAAAACCGCAACAATTTACAATAATTTACATATAATTAAAAATGAAATAAAACGAACGAAAACCGCCGACAGGCAACGAACCATTTTCAGACAATTAACTCAAAAATGACTCTCGCTCTTTCAGGTTGGTCGTTAAAAGGCCAAAATGCTTTCAGCTTTCGCAGCTCAGTCGAAAATATTTATGGTATCTCAACTTAAAGCATTAATAGAAGCGCTCCAATGAAATATAATAAACCAAATTAAAATGTGCACAATTTCTGCCGTCGAATAAAATATATGAAAATGAAAAACAAAAATGTAGGAAATTTGTGAAATGCCTTCACTCTGATATTTTCATTTATTTATGCAGTAACAGCAACAACGGAAAACAATCAACTGACCAAATTCAAACTGGTTGGCCAAAATTTTAAAACAAACATAACATGGTGAAAATATTTACATATGAACTTTCATTTGGCTTACAGTTTTGTTGTTGTTATCCCAGTTGCTCATGAATAATATGTTTGCTAGTTACGAGCGCTGCAACGAGTAGTAGTCAGTCGTGTGGTGGAATCCTCCTCTGCAAGTCCTGGGGAGCGCTTTAAAAAGAGGTCTTCGAGTCAGAATTTGAATTTGTCGAGATCCCTCGGCAGAAGCTGGACGGACACATAATTAGTGTCAATCTCAGGACCCCTGCACCAGTGTGCACCCGTTCCCCCGCCGGATACTTTGCTCCCGGCATATGTTCCATCTCCCAAGACCACTGTACCCACTTAAGTATGCAACACAAAATTCTCGTACGCTGCATGCGTACCAAAAATACCGAAAAGCAAGGCATCTTGTTTGCGATGGTGTCGGCATTAGTGTGCGTGTGGCCGCCACAGTGCTTGTCTTTTGTGTCTGTGCTATTTACTTAGCCAAAACGTGCGTAAAGTTTTAATTATAAACTTTTTTCTGGCACTCGCCCGGTCTTAAATGCCTTCCAAAACTTTCATCCCGTGCCGGCGCTTAACGACACTTTAAAGGGGCAATATATCAGATTTATGCGTGTAGGTGGAGACATCTGGTCTAGTAACTAAATTAAGATTAATTAAATGATTTATGTGCACATTTTTCAACAGCCTTCTCAGGTCAATATGCAAAAGTTTAAATTCACCAAATACAAACACTCGGGAATCGTTTTTGTTTACATTCTGACTGGCAAAACCTTTTTGTATAATTGCAAACTTTTCTGGGCAATGGAAGAAATCAATTTCATTTGATGGGCAAAAAAATTAATTTGATTTCTATGTGTGTGTGTTTATATCGATGGTGAAGAGTGCAAATCAGATGGAATATAGAACATGAAGGGTCATTCGGTGCGCGGCAGCTAACATAAATGTGAAAATCTGCAAATGGAATTGGCAGCAATGCAAATTTTAAAGATAAATTGATTTTATTTTGCTTTTAATGAATGATTATTTATTAATTCTTGATAGAAATTTGTTTAAGATGTGCACAAACACTATAAGGTATTCTATACCAACTTGGGTAATTACATTAAGGAGAATAATTTGATTGTGACTTTAAAGCGGAGCTTTTTTAAGCTTCTGAAAGTACTTAATCTTTGATTGTTGGGATCCTCCTTTTTTTGTAAAATATCTGCAAGTATAATAGCACTGCTTTCTCTATTTAAAAGTGAACAAAGCACACCCATCACATACATTGCTCATTTCTGTGGGAATAGACAAACTCTATTTGAGCAGATAATTGCATACAGCGATTTATAAGTCAACAAAGATCCTTTTTATGCACAGTGAAATAGTAGATTTTAATGCACCTCTTGAAAATATTGATTTGGTTTTATCAGGTTTACAATTCCTGAAAAAACTATTATAACATTAATGTGTAATATTTAATATATTGAAATGGAAATTCTTATTTGACAATAATAGATATATTTTCTCATTAATGATAAGTTATTTGAAGTAAGTAGTGAATATATATATAATTTATACTAAAATACTGTTTAAATCTTCAAAACACTGCAAATGTCAACCACTGTGCCTTGACTTGGGCTCTGTGTATCCTTCGAGACGCTTATTGGTTGACTTTCGGAGGAAACGACTGACTGACTGAATAAGCTAGAGAATGATTGAGCAGTTGTTTGGTTGTGCATTTCAATAAAACATTCAATGCATAACTACAATGGGCATAAGTTATGCATCGCTGCTGAAAGCCAGCGGGAGGGAGTGGCTGAGCGACTGAGTTCACTTGACTCGCACTAATTCCCCCACAAGGATAATCCTGTTGTTGAGCCCGATGCGAGGATATGGATGCTGTAGAGATGGCATCCCCATTGACTGACTGAGTTGGAGGAAATCTATTCTGTCTATCTGTCTGTCTGACTGAAAGGGCTTCGTCGTCTGCACACACTTATAGCCACTTCTTCGGCACATCGTCCGCCGCATCTTTCAACTGTTTGTGCGGACAAGTGGCTGCAGTTGCAGTCGAGCTAGGAAGTTTAATGATTTCTTTCATAAATTAAACAAGTTAAATTTATATATAAAATTATTCTGTTCTTTCTTCACTTTAAGTTTTATTATTAAAATAAATAAATGCAAAAATGAGCAATGGTAAGGAAAGATTATCGGGCCAAAAACTTCCGCTAGGCGGACATTGAACTTCTCAGCACGCTGCAGCCAAGGAAATGCTAAAAACTGTAAAAAATAACAACAAGGCAGTCGAAAAAACGAAAAAAAAACATCCACACGTAACATTAAACTTCAGAGTCACAACATATTCGGCTCTCCGCCGCCTTTCCTTTAAAGCCGCACCAGAGCGGCAGAGCAGAAATCAAATGGGGGCGCACGCGCCTGCAAGTATGCAATGCTGTAATACGAGACTAGCACGCGATGGAGATGATTTTCGGGATATGGATAGGGATTGGGGGTATTCGGGGTGTATTGGGCCATGGGCTGCCTGAATGGAAACTACGAAACTACGCTCATGCAGCAGGCAAGCCTGCTAAGGCGCTTAGCTATTTATGAGGAACGGAAGCGCTTTAATTTAATGTTGGCGCAAGATAAGAAGCTATCCAGTGCAGTGCTTCGGGGTATTATCTAAAGTGCGGGTATTGTAATTCCATAGATGCGGCAATTGGCATGATTTTAGTAGACAAAATAAATGCATAAATGAATAGTAAATCCCATTTAGAGAAGTGCAATAACTATATTGCTATATATACAGTGGATCTGTTGGCTATATTGAAGTATTTAATTAAATAAAGAGAAGTGACATTATGGTAAGGGTTATAAAATTAAAAAGGTGCCTTGTTTATAACAGAAACTCTACTAAATAAATCTATATATTATATATCTAAAAATTGATTTACAATTTTAGCAAGTAATTACTTTAATTGGGAAAACAAAGGCACATTTTTCTAATCAATATTTGTTTATACGTGGGCCTAGTTATCCTTGCCAATAAAACACACTTGGCCCACCGCAAAAGTTTCCAAAAAGTGAATGAGAGATTGCTATACATATATAATTCTAAGACTACACTCAAGGAAAATCTTAAGTCCGACACTCATTAAGGAATACATAGCTTGGTAATTTCTTAAGAATATAAGACAATCTTTAAATTGCGAAGAATAGAACTTTAGTATGCAAAAGTGCATGAAAAAGGAACAGTGTATATTTTCTGATCGATTTTTCTTCTGTATTTGGCTTGTAATTGGATGGATATATTATTGATAATGAAAACATTGCGGTTTTGTCAGAATATCCTGCCTATATAAGCCTGAACCCTTTTGATTCGATTGCATAGTAACTTTGAATTTTAAAAAATGGATACCTTTTTATTAAAAATAAGCTTCTTGGCCGAAAGGTTGTTAAAGTCAAGGACACCAAAAACCAGTATCTCACTCTGGAGGATTTTCTGAGACTGCCTGCGAACTTCTATCGTTCCTTGGGAGTGGATCCCTTTGCAACTAACAGAAATACTAGCATCGCCTTGCATTTAGTTTTCATGGCCCAACTTGTCGGTCTGTCCTTGGCTATGTACATGCAGATGGAGCTTGTGTGGATCAACGAAGACTTCTTCCAGTCCATGCAGGTCCTTGGCTACAGTACCTTCGGCATTGCCGGAATTCTGAAGGTAATAACAGTGCAGCTGCGTAAGGATAAGATGATCAGTATGGTGGGACAGCTAAGGTCCTGCTTCCCATCGCCCACAGAGGAAGAGCAAAAGCAGTACGAGGTAAAGGTCTATCTCAGGCGATTCCATCGCTTTGCAAAGGCCTTTGGAGGCCTCTACCTGGCCTTAGTCATCACCTACGATATAGCAGCCATCGGTCAGTACGCCTTTCAGCGTTGGGTACTTTGTTTACCGAATCCCACGCAAACCTTGCCCTACGTATCCCCGTTGCCATGGGAGTGGCGTGACAGCTGGAGATACTATCCAACGTACTTGATGCAGTCAATCAATGGCTACTCGGCCACCGGCTACCACATATCCGCCGACATTATGATCTTTGCCGTGGTCATGCAGGTCATCATGCATTTCGATAGACTAGCCAAGGCTCTCAGGGAGTTCAAGTTTTGCAGAAATGCAAAAGAGGACTTTAAGAACCTCCGAGCTCTGATCGAGTATCACAATCAAGTTCTCGAGTGAGTTAATTATTTGAATCTGAAAAGTTTTATAAATATGAGCCAAATCTTGTTGCAGTCTGACTGATGTTATGAACGAGATCTTTGGAATTCCGTTGCTATTGAATTTTCTGGCCTCCTCGCTGCTCGTGTGTAATGTGGGATTTCAACTGACCCTTGGGTTTAGTTTGGAACATATTAGCCAACAATTGATGCTCTTGACCAGCGCTCTGGTGGAGATCTATCTAATCTGCTTTTTCAGTCAAATGCTGATTGATGCGGTATGCAGAGTTATCTTCTTCATGATTTCAACCAAGATAACCAGATATTTTCAGAGTGAACATGTGAGTTTCGCGGTCTACGAAATGAATTGGTTAGAGGCGGACATTCGCTTTCGAAAAATGTTGGTGTTGCTGTGTCTGCGTGCCCAGAAGCCAGTTTGCCTTAAGGCCACTGTATTCGTGGACATATCCATTGGAACTATGAGTATTGTAAATTTATAGAAACTTTGAAAAAAGTTGCAGGACTTTATTTATACTCATATAATCTCTTTTCAGTTTCTACGAGTATCGTATAAATTCTTTTGCGCCATTCGAAGTATGTATCAGTAAGTGGATTGCATTCAAAAGGTATTAGATGATATATACGTATATGAAGAGTCATATTTGAAGGTCAACAGTAACCCAAGTCGGTTTGATTAGACTTTTCAATAAAAATATGCAAAAGCAACAATACATTTAGGTTCGAATATACTAGTAAATTTTTAAGGAGCTCACCGAACTCCCTCAAAGAAGAAAAAAGAATATCGAATTCTGTTACTTATCTTGTGGTTATATTAGTATTTAAAATTATTGGTTGTTCAAATGATAAATTCATTAGGGTAATAATAAAGTTCTGTGTCGATACGGAAAGTAGATTTCACTCGATTTTATGATATTTTAAATTAAACACTAATTAGTTTTAAAATCATAATCTTTGGTTGATTAAATTTCTTACCCAACTTTTGAGAAGCAGTGCCTCAGAGCGCAGGCTTCTTTAAAGTGATGCCGTGGCAATGTGGATGTAATCAACTCAATTAGCTATTGTATAAGCATTTTCCACAGCTCCCGGCCCCCGGTTCCCGGTTCCCACTACCGAAACCGAAGCAAACACAAAACTCAATTAGATGCCATAACTAAATAATCACAAACACATTTGCGCAAACAAGGACTCCTCCGGCTGAAGCCTGCTCGGCGACCAAGAAACGTTGCTGAGTAAGCAGGAAAAAATAGAGAATCGGGTCAACAACAACAACACCGGAGCTACACAGGACCAACATAGGAGCAACACGAGCAACAATTTTGAAACAATGAAATGACAACAACGGCAGGAGCGACAAGGCATGCTTGGAAAATTGCTCGAAATGCTCAGAAGCCAGTAAGGCAACAATCGGGGAAAAGGCGCTCGAAAAGATGGAAAGCCAGGGAGGAGGGGAGAAAAACAGAAGGGATTCAGCGGGGCCGAGGGGAAAATTCCAACATGTGACGCACGTGACAAAACTTGTCAAATGACTTTACTTCACTTTGACTGCGAATCCCGGTTCTGGTGTCCGTAAACGAGAAGACGGAATCCCGGCCCGGACGAAGGATATGTTTGTGTATATTGCCCCCTCATGAAATGCTTAAGAAAACTCGTCCTTCTCTCTCAGTAAAACAATGAAAAGGAGGCGAAAAGGAAAAGTCAGCGACGGGAGTTTTCCAACTTGTTGCGCCCAGGGCTAAATTATGACATCGGGGAGTTTTTGGGAGGGCGAGCGACGGGGATTCCCCAAGCGCCAGAAAAAAAGGCATTTGAAGCGGAGCAATGAAGTGGAATTCTATGGGACTTGTAGATAGCTAGCAGCTCTCTTAAGTATTCCCAGAAGATAAGGTTACAATAAATTAAAAATTACACACTGCTGGAATTATCTACGCTCAATGTTTCACTTTTTAATGCATTTACTTTAACTGTTCATGAATGATGTTTGTTTTTTAAATATAAGGATCAAAATTTCAGCATTGGTAGCACCGAGTTTGCCTTTAACTCGATCAAAGTAGGCCTTGAAGCGAAGTTCAGCAAGCTCATGTCATGAAGCCAATGGAGTTGGTACAGATTTTTCATTCTCGTCTGGGTTCTCTAACGATAAACATCTTTCCAACCACAACCAAATTTTTTGGATTCTAAATCCTACTTCCGTAAACAGGCAAATAATGTAAGTGTAAAAAAGTGAAAACAAAATTGAAATATTTATTTTGAGTAAAAATCGGTTTGTAGAGCAAAATGTGCAACCCCGGAATGGGCTCGATGCCAGGCACCTGCTGCGGACCTACTGGCGGTCTGGGACCCTGCCTCCTCTGCGGTCCCTACAATGGCCAATGGTTCCGATCCATCAACCATTGCTGCGGTCCCTGCGGACCCTACGGCTGCTGCTCCTGCTTGGGACCCTCCGGCGGACACTGTTAGTTGTCCTGGTTAGAAGGAACTTAGGATTTATCCACACTATTATCGATTACAACTGGCAAGGCGCTTGAAGGTGCAGCGATGAAAGGATGAGCCCAGGTGGAGCCAAGAAATTTGTGTTTGCCAGGAATTGTTGGGGCCAGCGTTCGATGAAACCTAGAGGGGATTTATTATTTTGGTTCGAAAATTAATAATAAATTCTGCGTATAAACAAAGTTTATTTCTTTAATGAGCTCGGAGATGTCCCGTCCATTTTGTGATGCCACAGTTACATGAGTAGATATTTTTATTACTAACTGAAACTGCTTTAAATAATGCCATAATATTAAAACTGCATACCCAATTTGTAAACACAAATGCCTACATATAATTACAAATCGAACTGCGTCGAGCAAATTTAAGAGCTCAGCCTGGTTTGTTTTTCTGGTTTGGCTTGTAGTCCAGTGGGTGCATTTAGGGCTAAAAACCCCGATTTGTTTGTAAATATTTGGCTCGTTTACAACTAACGACTCACCGGGGAGCAACCAAACAGTCGTGTAATGCTAATGGGCCTGTTAAGCGCAAATTTGTTAACGAGAAAACCAGTAGCGACTTTATTTATTCTTTATTGCGCCGTTGCTCGTTAAAGGCAAAAAGACAACCATTGATCTCCGTAAATTTGAACAGCAAAAAAAAGGTTAAACAAATTGTGATGGGGAACCCGAAGGTTACTTGGGGCGCTTGATCGATTTGGAGCCGCCCAGACTGGGGAAATACTCCGAGCTCTTGATATCTGGAGCCTGGGGCTTCCCCATGGATAAAGCTGATGGCAGCTTGCGGGTAGCCTTCTCCGCCTGGGGTCGCTGGCGGGATTCAGCCTGGCTCTGGCGCAGAGCAGGCGGAATGTAGACCTGGGGCTTCATCTCTGGGTTTTGTGGGTTCTCAGATGAGGTCTTCATCTCTGGCTGCTGCTCGCACTTCAGCTCCTTAGGCTCCTTCGGCTCCATCGGCTCCTCCTGGGGCTGTGTCTTCTCCATGTTCTGCCAGGGACAAGAGGCAGAGCCCGGACCCTCGTCCAGGCGCTTGCCGGGGACCACATCTATGCCATCTCCGGCGCACTGCTCTCGCTCCTCCGGCTCCAGAACATTGATCTCGGTGGATGGAGCCAGAAGTGTGCCGCTCAGTGTCTTCCAGGTGCTACGTGGCACACTTGTATAATTGAAACGATTTTCCTCGGTGTAATCCGACCACTCGTCCTCATCCTCGCCAGTTTCGTCAGGGAATTGAAGACCGAATTCCAGCGGTTTGGCAAATGATGGTCCTGCCGATCCAGTTGGACCCTCCATCAAGCTGTCGTCGTTGTCAAGTCCTTTGTTTGGATCGCTGCCAGCCTCGACAGCTAGATTGGTGGATTCCTCCAGCGTTTTGTACAGCTCATCGGTGGCCAAGTAGTTTGATTTTTTTTTTTAGACTTTTTGTTGTCCTTCTTGGCGAAGAAGTCATCAAGAGTGGACATTTTCAAATATTTACTTCAGCTCTGTTTGTGCGGGGACAAAATCAATTTCGAATTGGCAAGAGTCGTGTCCAGATGCTTAAAACGAAGCCTGCTTTCTGTTTGGAAATTTGTAAATATTTTCCATGGCCTATTCTATTGGGTTTTTTATAAGATAGCTATGCTTTTCAAGTAATTCTTTTACGATTAAAATGCGAAATACCGAAAATGTGAAAACTTTTCTGCGTAGAAGAATATTCTCTGGTGAACACAAGTATTTGCAGTTAAGGCCTGCCACTGAAGTCTGCATTTTGTGGCATTACCAAAGCCATATAATCGGGACACGCAAAAGTTTGTTGCATTCAAAAGGCTTAATAACATAATTTTTGCCAGTTTGTTTGGTGGATAGATGGACTGTGGCACTGCGTGGCATGCGACTGTGTGCCCTGCCATTCGCTATCTGCCGGCATATGCCACTAATTAGAATTAATGCCCTGGCCACGCCCCGCCCCGTTGAGTGGAAAGGACCTTTTTATGCCACTGTGCCGTGGCACGAGTAGTCACATATGTTCATTATGCTTGCCAGCCGACAAGTGGGAACGCCATGGAGGCGGAGGTCCTCCTCCGATCCTCGACGTCTGCTTGAGTAATTACCAGAGACCAGAAGCAGAAGCAGAATCAGAATCAGGAGCTGAAACAGAGAGGCAGAGGCGGTGGCAGCGGCAACGTGAATGCGGTGCCAGGATGCAAGTGCAGGTCGTCCTTGTCGCCATGGCAAAAGCTTTTTATGAAATGACGATGACATAAAACAAATGTGCTGGCCAAACGAGAGCGAGCACACATACATTGGTGAGACAGCAACAACGACCAGCCATGAACAAGTCTCTACTTAAATTTATTATTTAATTAGTGCGACCAGTTGAATGTGTGTAGCTGTGGGTGAATGTGGTGCTGTGTGGTGTGTGGGTGTACAAGAGTACAAAATTTGGTAAAAAAAACACCAAGGAAAATCAAATTACTACTGTAAGTTTGTACTAATTTATTTATTAAAGAGTACCAATATATTTGTATTTATTATTGAGTAAGTTCTTAACATTTAAAGTGAATAATGCAATGAGAGCTAAGTTCAAAGACTCCATTTATATTAATCTCTCCGATGCTATTGACCTAAGTCAATCCCAATCAGCCCTGAGGATGCATCTTAAATTGTTTACACATTTAATCAGTTTGGGCTTCTTCAATCGATGCTGCTAAATCGCACCTGCAATTGTCAGTCCTAATTAATTATTATTCAATTAACACCAGACGCTAATTAAAAGATGAAAGGGAAATCAATGCCTGGCCGAAAATTCAAGAAAAAGTAAAACCAATGTTAAGAGGTTATACTCTTTACAGAATATTTTCCCAGTTTTTAATTAAAAATTTCAGATGCCTCGAAGGCGAGAAGAATTCTAATTGCAAAAGCCATCACATCAAAAGGAATACTCCTGTTTATATTTAAGGTGCACTTATTTATTATCAGTGTTAAATATTTTATGGCACATGAGTCACTCAAAACGCAGAAGAAACACTTTTGCAAGAGCCTGCAGAAAAGTTGAGGGAGCTCACTGTGAAAACTATCGGAGAAAAGCCCCAGGACCAGGGCCATCAAAAAAGCATGACAAGTCAGACGGAACAACACAAACAGAGACAGGGTGGCTTTTCCTACAGGGAAGTGGGAGGAGGGGGAGGTTGTGCATTTTCCGAAATTTCCCGAAGAGGGGGGAGGTAATCAACCCTGAACCGGAAACGAGACTGCTAAAAATATTGGCGCCACTTTGGCGGGACGTCTGGCCGGAGAGTTGGCGACGTCTGTGGCTCATCTCAACGCCCCTGTTATTGTTATTGATTTGGGAAAGTGTGTGTGTGTGTGTGTGTGTGTGCGGAAGCATAGAGTCCTTGAATGGGAGGATTCATCCACCAGGATGCATAATTCGGGAACACCCTCGCGTGGCATTGATGACATCATCATGGCCATCAGCATCAGAAGGAAGGCACTTTTCAGTTTCGAACTTCGTCGTTCTCGGTTTTATTTTATTTCTCCCTCAGTACTTTGTAAGCTTATATGGGCATTATATTTAACGCTTATTATGCGACTCGATTACTTTAAAGCTCTTTATCGCCCCCGGCCGCAGACGGGTTACAATTTTTTACTGACTCATTTACTGGGCAGCCGCAGACCGACAATTTGTACCAGCCACTGACGCACACAACCGCCTTACATCCATTAAAGCAAAGTGTTACAACACATATTTAAATTATAGACTTTTCCGCCTCACGCACGTCCTACCGTCCTTTACACATGCACGCGCTTTTCCCGCCTTTCTGGGCGCCATGAAAATTGTTTGTCAAATTATAAAGTTCTTCGGGGGATACTTGGCAACACGTTTTCCGGCAACGAACTGCCAAGAACTGGCAAAAGGACATGTATTAATATTGGCTGCATGAATCTGCCGAATATGCCACTATTTCTATTTGGAGTTTTTGACAGTAAGGAATTAGTAGTAGTCCTGCTTAAACTCTAATTATCTATAGTACATAGTTGTAGCAACTATTTACTGCAACCCCAAGTAAGTTATTCGCGCTGCAACAATTTTCAATGCAATTTTTCCCATAGAACTCATATTTTTACATTAGTAAGCCAATGTCTATAAGTATATACAATTTATATATATACATATATACAAATTCAATTGCCTAGTCAAAGTTCATCAGCCATTTCAGGTTTTTATTCCGTGGAATTTCTCGGAATGCAAAAGCAGGTTCACATTGATGAACTAAAATGGTTGTATTGCCTTTATCCAATTTTCTTGTTTGCCTTCATTATACCCTTGCAGGGTATTATAATTTCAGTCAGAAGTTTGCAACGCAGTGAAGGAGGCACCTCCGACTATATAAAGTATATATATTCTTGATCAGGATCAACAGCCGAGTCGATCTAACCATGTCCGTCTGTCCGTCTGTCCGTCTGTCCGTCTGTCCGTCTGTCCGTCTGTCCGTCTGTCCGTCTGTCCGTTTCTACGCAAACTAGTCTCTCGGTTTTGAAGCTATCTGAATGAAACTTTGCAGTTAGTCTTCTATATACTCTCACTCGTATATATGTCGGAACGGGCCGGATCGGACGACTATATCATATAGCTGTCATAGGAATGATCGGAAAAGTTTTACAAAAAAAATTATAAAATTTTTAGTTTTCAACAGAATTTGATCAAATTTGAGATATAGCCATTTCATATTAATTTACAATTTTGTGTAAAATTTTATGAAAATCGGATTAATATATCATATAGCTCCAATAGGAACGATCGAGAAATTAATTCAACTAAAAAGGATAACATTTTCAGTTTTCAACAGATTTTCATCAAATTTGAGATATAGCCGTTTCATATTATTCTACAATTTTGTGTAAAATTTTATGAAAATCGGACTAATATATCATATAGCTCCCATAGGAACGATCGAGAAATTTGAGAGGAATGAGAATGGCGGTGGCTGTTGTCGGAAGACTGACAATCGCGGTGGCGATAACATTTTTAGTTTTCAACAGAATTTAATCAAATTTGAAATATAGCCATTTCATATTATTCTAAAATTTTGTGTAAAATTTTATGAAAATTGGACGACTATATCATATAGCTCCCATAGGAACGATCGAGAAATTAATACAATTAAATTTATAACTTTTTTAGTTTTCAGCTGATTTTCATCAAATTTGAGGTATAGCCATTTTATATAAGTCTTAAATTTTGTGGCAAATTTCATAAAAATCGGACGACTATATCATATAGGTGCCATACAAACGATCGTTTGATGTAGAGGAAAAATGCAAATCTGTGAATGTAAAACTGCAAATATAATATGTATAGGTGAATGAAATGAAAGCAGGTATTACTTCATTGTTTTTTAACACAAATATATATAATTTATATTGTATGGATTCCTATTCATAGAAGTTCTATCTGCAAGGGTATATAAACTTCGGCGTGCCGAAGTTAGCTTCCTTTCTTGTTTTATTTGATTTAATCAATGTGCAACGGCATTTCCCGGCACACATTTTCCTCGCTGCCGCTGCCACTGCCATTGCTCTCCTCTCCCTTTTGCCACCGCATTTTCTTTGGCTTTCCTCTTTCTCTTTAACGGTTTATTTATTTGTATTTGACTTTCGCTGCGTGGGCGTAAAATGACGCGAAGGAAGCTCGAAAGGCAAATACAATTACACTGAGTGCTCCTGCTCCTGCGGCTCCTTTCCGCCGACCTTCCGCACGTCTATTGGCCAAAAGCACAGATAAAAGCAAATACCTAGGCAAACAAATCATTTGGAAAATATTTTTGCGCACAAATCACAAAAATCGAGGTGCAAAAATTATTTACGAATATTATTTGGCGAAACCCAGAGCGGCAAACGAGGCGTCGAAGAGCAGCAGCAAAGTGCACAGAGACCTTCGACGGATGGATAAAGATACATATACATATAGATATAGCTCCATCAGGAGCAGCAAGGTGCCAAAAATAAGAAAATGGAAAGTCAGCAACGAGACGTGAAAAGCGTGAAAAGTGTAAATATTGCCACTGCCCCAATATTTGTACAGTGTTGTATTCTTTTTCGTTTGATTCCACTTTGTTGATGAGTGTAAGCTTGAATGATTTTAAGCCAGGACCGAGGAGCTGTTGACTGACTGACTGACTCAATAGGAAGTCGGAATATAAGTGGCTTGAATGGCAGTCGGAAGTCTGGAGTGATGATGAGAGATTGCCCAGAGCACTTGAGTCCTCGAAGATAATTCTCACAGAGTTTGTGGGTAACTCAAGATTAAAGTCAGTTTGAAATACAGAAATCTATAAAACCAATACTAGTTTGTTTAATTAAAGGAATTCTGTATTATCATGTCTTGTTGTGAGATACAAAGAACAAACATAATTACCCGAGTGCTCCCCCCTAAGCACAATAACTGCGCGTCCAAATATTCCATGGAAACATGTACGCTAATATATATAAACAGGCAAATACTTTATCCCAGCCAAAAGAGCAAAAAGTTGGTAGTCACTTCCGCTTATAAGTGGAGCCT